AGATAGTGCAGACAAGCAGAGTTTGGGTCTATTATCCACAAGGCCACCATAAGTGGGAACCACCCTGATGGCATGTAACTGCAGCAGCAGGCTATCCAATACAGCAGAATAAAAATCGCTGCAAGGATCATCCATCAGACAGAGTAGTACAAAAGGCAGCAGGGTCCTTGGGTCACCAGGTATCAAGCGGACAAACACATCACAAAGTAGACAGGTCTCTTGCTGCGAGGATATAATGCTGGAATCTGGGTGCCTGCTCTTGGAGGAGGGCCTCGCCACTAGAGTGCTCAGAAAGGCGCTAAACCGAATAAGAGGTCAGCAGCCAATTGTTGAGAAGACTGATCCAAGGAATCAAAGGAGAGTGAGCCACAAGTTCATACACAGGGCAAGAGAGTATAGTCTACATTGGTCAAGCCAGCAGAGGTTAAGGGGTAAAAACAAGTGCAGCCTCGAGTCAATTCCAACTCATGGTTACTGAGGATGTAAATTATGATAGCAGCAAATAGCCTCAACTTTCTCCTGTGGAGCAGATGGTGGGTTTGAACTGCTGACTCTGAGATTAGTAATCTAAAGGTTACAGGGCTCTACTAAGTCAATACAGAGACCAAAAAAGGACTGGTTTGGGGGCAAACATCACTGATGTTCTCCTCATGGAATTGCTTTCCTTTGTGAACTGTATGATCCAATAAATAGAGACCGGTCTTTCAGCAAATGTCTGCACATCTGTATGAGCTGAGATGACATGACAAGCACCTCTCTGCCTATCTGTCTTACTATCTATGCTAAACAACACTCTTATGACCCCTTATTGGGCTAAGCCAATGCTATTTCTCAGCTTCTTGACCTACCTTATGTGGTGGACTAACTATCACTTATTAAATGATAAATTTTGAGACCACAGATCCTTCTATCTCAAGGGAAATTGTCCATTTGAGTAGGAGGTAGTGTCCAGATTTCATGGTGATGAAACCTGTATGAGTTTCCTGGGGCTGCTATACCAAATTGCCACCAACTGGGTGGATTTGAAAAACAGAATATTTTTTCCCATAATTCTGCAGGCAGAAGTCCCAAATCAAGGTGCTGGCAGGGCCATAATCTTCTGAGGTTCTGAAGAAAGCTCTCTCTTAGGTCACAGGGGTTTCCGCAAGGGCTTTCCCTGCCCTGGAGCTCCTCCCTCCGGTCTCTCTCTGTCATCTCACGGCCCTCTTCCATCGCTGTGTGGGTGTCCGTGTCACTTCTCCTCTTCGGAGAAGGCCACCGTCACGCCGCATTCACACTGCCACTTCCCTCAACTCCAGTTTGACTCAACTTAACTAGTAACACCTGCAATGTTACTAACAAGCACGTCCTGAGCATCTGGGAAGGACATGACTTTGGGAGGGACCAGTATTTAACCCAGAACATAGGATTTAGGAGAATCAAGTAGCTTATACTATACAAAAGTGTTCTGTTGTCATTCAGACAAACCAGATGTTTCAATTTGGGAACAGCAGCACTAGAAAGAGAAGTAATAATTTTGCTAACTATACTTCAATACATTGAAGCGGTGTGTGGTTCAATGTTGAATTACTCCCATCTACATATGAGACCTTTTGTTTTGTTTTACATACTTTGAACATGGTGCCAGAAGATACCCGTCACTGGATAAAGACATCACGTTTAGTAAAGTACAGGGGCAGCAAAAAGAGGAAGGCCCCCGGAGACGAATGGACACAGTGGCTTCAACCATGGGCTCAGGCATAGGAACAATTGTGAGGACGGTGCAGGGACTGGTAGGGTTTCATTCTGTTGGTGCACAAAGTTGCTATGGGTCAGAATCGACTTACTGACACCTCACAACAACATACATGAGACCCAAGTCTCATTACCAGTCAGTAAACCTCAGACCCAACCAACCACCCATCTGCCAGGGCAGTGTTTTGTTTTGCTAGCATGCCATAGAGCATTTCAATGGGGCTACCAGACAAAGACTATGAAGAAAGTTCTGGTTATGTACTTCTGAAAATCAGCCAATGAAAACCCTATGGATAACAACATGATCCACAACGAGTCAATTAAGGACATGGGTCAATATTTTTTTCTGTTGTGCATAGGCTCACCATGAGTCAGGAGCCAACTCAACAGCAGCTAATGACAACTTCTACACCCAACCAGTGTCGCATTCACTAAAATTCTAGCCAAGCAGCTCTGAGAGCTCAGCGCTCTACTAAGGCAATGGGAAGAATTAGCATGAACCTAGGTTTCTAAGGACTGAAATGTAGATGGTAGTGCCTGGAACACTGCAACAGGAAGCAAATTAACCAGTGACTAATTGTGAAGGAACCTTATGGTTGCTCATAAACAAAATGGCAGAAAAAGAAATACAAAGGCAAAGCAAGGTGCTCTTTTGTTGCCTATTGGCTTGACAAAGTTTAGGGGGGGAAGTGCTAAAACCATTGACAAGTCGGCAAAAATATAAAGGAATAGTTTAGTACACTGCCAGATGCCAACTTTGTAGGACAATTGAGCAATATGTGTAAAAAAATTTAGTATTTGTACTTTTCACACAAGTCATACTAAACCCTATAATTTATCCTTATCAGGTACACAAGTGCACAAAACTGTGATTTCAAAGATGGTCATCACAGTGTTTTCTCAAATAGTGGAACGTTGTGCAACTAAGTGAAGGAAACTATGGTTTGACTATTATGAAAACTACATGGTCATTAAAAATGGTGATGCATAGTATGATAGGTGGGTTTATTGTGACAACATGGCCAATAAACACATGTGGGATTAATAAGGTTGCAGTTTAATTGAAGAGAAAAGAGATAAATGGCTCAGTGAGTCTCGCCTTTCTGTCTCTTGATCTCTGATGATCAGACCAGTGTGTGGCTGCCTTAGCTAGTTCTCTGCTTCAACTTGCAAGCTACACTACTTGTGGGGCACCCAACCCGTGGACCGTGTCACTATGGTTTGAGGTTCCTTTGAGACCTGCTTTGCCACACTGCTGGTGTATACATCACTTAAGCTGGGGACTTTCGGACCCTGTAATCTGGCTGACTGTTGGCAATTCGCCCTGCTCTTTGCTGCCTGTGGCCGGACTGTCTGTATTACTCTACAGAAGACTCAGTTGTGTGCTTCATTGGCTTGCACCCAGCACCCACGTGAGTTGAAGGCCTGCCGTATATTAACAGTCTCATGGAAGTGAGTTGAACTGAGCCCTCTGTACTGCTCTGTGAACTAATTGGTTGTTAATTTCTTCACATTGTATATATCTAGATATCTAGATATATAAAATCATAACTGTCCTGGTTTTGTTTCTCTAGAGAATCCTGTCCAGCACATACCAACATGCATGATTTGATTCTGACTGAAAGAGCAGTTTACAAAATGCTATGTATAGTATAGATATTTAGGGGGAAGTAGTCCTTCATGGGTATACATTGGGCTGCGAACTGCACGGTCAGCAATTCAAAATCACCAGCCAGCTTCTCAGGAGAAAGATTAGACTTTCTGCTTCATTAAGAGTTACAGTCTTGGAAACCTACAGGGCCACCCTATTGTGTAGGGTCTCTATGAAACAAAATTGGCACGATGGCAGTGAAAGAATGGCTCAGTGATAAAATCCTCACCTCCCATGAAAGCAACAGATGTTTGATGTACCAGACAATGTAGCTTACGAGCCGCCACCACCCATCTATCAATCAAAGCTGCATGTTGCTATGCTGTTGAACAGACTCCAGTGAAGCGCCCAGGCTAAGACAAACTAGAAAGAAAAGCTGAGCAATCTCCTTCTGAATAATCTGCCAATGAAAGCCCTCTGGGTTACAATGGTCTGATCCTGTGGTGCATGGGTTTGCCATGATTCAGGGGGACTCAATCAGTCAACAAAAATAAGTAGTTAAAACAATTGAATACAGAATTAGGGATCTCAAATGTAAACTCCCACTTATTCACATTTTTTAATTGTTTAAAATAAACAAAAATGAGGACAGAAGTTTCTGTCAATAAAAATCAATTTAATTATGACTTCCATATCTGTATATGATCATAAGTATATAATAGGTATCCACCAAAATATAGCAGTGGTTCTCTGAGGGTGTCCAATATATAACTATATTATCCGATGTATATGTTTTCAATATTTTCTGAATTTTTTAAAAGGGGGCATATATCCATTTAATAAAAAATAAAGCTATAAAAGAGTAAAATCATCATGGTTAATATTTCAGTTACTAAGCATGGTAGGAAGAAAATTAAAACAATCTGAAGACATTAAAGAGAATTTTTCAGTAGAAATGACCATTACTCTTAATAGCCCCCAAGTCATTTTTAATTAGAACAGATTCAATTTCTGTATGTATCATCCTCGCTCTCAAACTCAGTGGGTTATAACCTATATCCAGGTTGAGACAAAATGTTTTTAGCCCAAAATAGATAAGGTTAAAACCCCATCAAAAGTAATGACTTTCCAAAGACTCCAGGAACCCAAAAAGAATAAAACAAAGCAAGATGTACAAATTTCATTTTTAGGAAAAAGAAACCAAATGACTACAAAAATACCAGCTCCCAGAATAGCTAAGGAACATCAACAGGGGAAAATGAAGAGCAAAAGATTGACATATGGATGTCAAAAACCCTGTGTCAAAGAGGGTTGGCGAACTAGTCGTGCGTCTCCAATTATATATATCCAGGATCAGCGTGACAGGCATTCATTGCCAAGAGCAAAGGGAAGTTTTTTAATGTCCTCAAAATCTCTTTTCAGTGACTTCCTGATAATATGAAGGCTCTACACAAAGTTTGGTGGGGGTGGGGTGGGAATTCATGATTTTTTACTTCCATGTGTTTCCAGGAACTTTTTGAAGCTCTCTTATATAGCTGTAATGTGAGATTATTTTTAACTCATTGGATTATTGATCATCAAATTCTGACTTAGAAAAAGACAGCTGTAAGTAACCATTTCACCAGACACATCTAAGTCGAGCCTTACACACAGTTCTCTTTTCCTCCACTTTCAGGAAGCACACGGAAGAAACCGCAGCGATGGCCAAGTTGACGGAGTCCATGAGTGAGTAACCAGAAACTTGCTCTCTATTTGGGGGATTGAATTGGGAAAACACAACAATCATGCAAAAACCACATCCCTCTGTGATCACCTGATCTGAACTTTCATCCCCTCTTGCAATGATCCAGGTCTATTTAATGTATGCTGCATCAGGTTAATGTGCGCTATACCTCTTCCTCCCTGACAATCTCATTATGTGATAGTTCACATTCATGGCAATAGTAAAATATCTCCCATGTGACTATTGTGTGCATGGACCAAATATGTTTGGCAACAACAAACGCTGAGGTAAGAGGCAATGTTGGCAGTGAGTAATGGTAGCTGTGATGGCTTAAGCTTAAGTGTCCAATTGCCTACGCCATGATTTCCAATAGTTTGGCAGTTTGTAGTGATGTGAAGTAGCAATCATGCAATAATATGATTGAACAGTACATAATGTGGTGGTTATCCTTTATTGTGTGATCTCAGCTGGTCATCCCGCATTTTCCATCGTGCCTATGTTTATATAATGACTTGGCTTTGTTCTCCCTGGGGTGGAAATGGAAACCAGTTCTACTTGGAGTGGAAATGAACATTCTCAGCAGGGGCTTAAACTGGAGTGGAGCGGCTTGAAGCCCTGTTGGAACCTACCCATATCTATAAATGAAGAGTGGGTGTATGAATTACTCAAAATGTACCCGTGTGGGTTACAATTCTGTGCTGGAGTTGTTTTCTAAAGCGTGAAGCGGAAGCATCCAAATGGATTCCAAGTAGCGCTGTATTGGGATCAGGACCCACAAGAAACTCAACCTGATTTTTAGTTAAGTGTCAGCTGACTCTTTGGGTGCAGACTTGCCCTGGACTGACTGGTCTAAAGAGAAGAGAAAATATGGAGCATAGTCCAGATGTCTCAGACAGAACAATTACAAGCCAGAGTGTTTGTAGTGTAAGTAGATTACAATGACTTGGCCTTTGCATATGGTGGTGTTCTAAAGTTCTAAGGATACACAAAGTATTTTTGAAAGAAAAGAAGAGAAATCCATTACAGCAAATCTTTCTGTGCTTGAGAAATCCAATTTCCTGTGTTGAGGTTTAAATATTAAGTGCCTTGTAGATATGAAATAACCAGTTCGTGTAGATTTTTCTTTGAAAACATTGTTCTTAGTGACAGAGTTCATATATTAGATCACAAGGGAGATTTATAAATATTTCTCCATTGCCATTAGGGCCTAGAAACCATATTAAATCCACCTGCAAAAATTACCATTAAGCGCCTCCACATTTAACTGTGCCTTGCTTCCTCCTCCTCCTATTCCATGAAGCCAAAGGCTATTAAATACAAGTGCTCCCCTGTAGCATAGTCAATGATATCCCCAATGATCCCCCTAAATAAAGGTAATGTCAAAAAGTCCTTTACATTATATTTTAAAAATCCTAATCCACAAGCTTGGTTTAATTTCATATAAATCTTTAATGCATATTAATTACCAAGTAAGCAATGGCCCGGAACACTGGTAGGTAATGGTTATCAGTTGGGCTGCGATCTGCAAGGTCAGCAGTTTGAAACCACCAGCCACTCTTTGGGAGAAAGATGGGGCTTTCTACTGTAAAGAGTTCCAGTCTTGGAAACTCACAGGGCAGTTCTCGCCTGTTCTATAGGGTGGCTGTAAGTCAGCATCGACCCAATGGCAGTGAATTTGAGTTTAAGTTTTGAGAAACTGGCCCAAAGGGCCTAGGTTAAGAACAAACCCTCATCAGTAATTAAACTTCCTTTTCCAAACCCTCTCACCCTACTCTTCACTCCATTCCTCTTGCCCACCTCTAGTCTGGAAGACTGGAAAATATTTTAAAGCCCTACCACTTAAGTTTGAAGAATCCCAGACTCTTTCTGGGTAAGCGGAATTATTTTAATGTCTCAGACTGTACTCTTCTCAAGAGCCACCGGAAATGCAGTCAAGTCCCTTGGTTAAGAATCTCTGGCTAAGCCTGAAGGTCTATAGAGTGTTAAGTAAATTTTACCTCACTTGGAAGCCATTGAACTAAAACCCTTACAAGAAATCTCTGTTACCACAGTCACCTTGACTTGCTGCACATGTAGCTTTTAAATCATTGGAAAGGCTACCAGTGCACCAAAGTAAGGCTCAGAAGTGTCTGCACCTATTCTGACTTACCTACAAACGCAAAGACACATTTAGCTATGGACCGCGTTCATATTCCAAGGGATTGCCTGCAGTGAAGTTCCAGGGCTACCACAAAATGGATGAACTTACATTATCGAAATATGGATGGAACCATGAACATCACCAACTGGTTCCCCCTCCACAGCACAGTAGCAATGAGCTTAGTGCTGATCTCTAGGTGCAATGCCATCAGCATAAATGACACACTAGTTCTCTAGATGCTAGAAAGTAAACGACCTAGAAACAAACACCACTGGTAATGAGTTAAAGTCTTGAGTGTACAGGTGAATTACACTAGATAGTGTTGGATATGAATTAGGGCATTCACACACAGTTTTACAGTGAGGTTTGATTATCTTAGTTCAGAAGTTGATTATTTTAGTTGAATAAATGTGATTTTTTTACCTGATCTAACTGAATTGCAAAACATTACGTGTGCGCTGGAAGAGAGATTCTGGTCAATTTTTTCTGATCATGGAATTTTGATTTTTATATCTCTTTTGGATTCCAGATGTAATTGACTCACTCCTCTTGGCTATTGATTGGGTGGTTTTGTGTTTCAGGTTTACCTTAGTAAGCAATCATGCAATAATATGAATGCAATCGAAGCATGAATCCCAAGACTTTAGCAGTAAATGGCAACAGTTTTGGTGTTGTGGTTGTTTGGGGGGGAGGGGGCGGGGTAGGGTGGATTTATAACTCTTCTAAGTGTTATGAAATGCTAAGCATGTGGTCAATCCTCAATAAACATTATGAATAATGTAATATACAGCTTTATATTTAGTTTACCTTAAAAACACAAACCAACGAAGAACATTCATTCACCATCAAGTCAATTCCACCTCACGGTAGCCACATGAGTTAGAGTCTAACTGCTCCACAGAGTTTTCAAGGGCATGACCTTTCAGAAGGTGTTAACCAGGCCTATCTTTTGAAGTGCCCCTGGGTGAGTTCATACCCCAGACTTTCTAATTACTAGGGGAAGGCTTGACCATTGGAACTCCTGTTAGGTAATAATAAAATGTCGAGAAATGTATAAATAATTTTGTAAAGAGAGGTTATTGGTATTCCAAATGAAGCATTAACATAAAATTACTACTCAATAAAATTGGTGTGAAAATCAAATCCAGCCAAGGAGAAAAGAGAAACAAACAGAGCCCCAAATACCCAGGACACAGTGCACTGAGTGGGTTTCTAGAGCCAGTAACATTTTGCTTGTTAAGCCGCCAAGCAGGAACCATCTGGTCACTAGAACATCTCTGTGTTTAATTAGAATGGATCTTGATCGCCTCATATCACCATGAAACATGTAGCATCGTGGTGATGGGGGTTCCACCACGCACATTTCCTCCAGAGCAGGGAGGGAGTATTTCTTTCTAAAGGGAGGATGAGTGCCATTAAACCATTGCCCATGGCCAAAATCAACTTCAGCCTTCTCCTTTTCTTTCTTTCTTTCTTTTTTCCCTCCCCAGAGCAGGCAAGAGATGTGATGACTTCAAAGAGTTCATGGGAAAATGGAATTAGAATATAATGAAAAATTCCCATGAACTTTATGAGGCCCTGGTGTATAAAAGAGGTAACATTTTTTAATGTTTAGTTGACAACAGTTTTATTACTTAATAAATATAGTACTTTAAAATATATTTACAGCACATTATTGAAGTGTAGAGACGTGACAAAGCCTTAAAGGAGAGAGAGAGAGAGAGAGAGAGAGAGAGAGAGAAGGAATAAAACAAACAGGCAGGAAGAAATAGAAAGACAGTATAAATTTCTATAGGAAAAGTAGATATTTTTTAAAAGAAAGGAAGGAGGGAAAGAAGGAAAATAACCAGAGAAGGAGCTAGAATCACAAGAGGCCATGAGGAATAAAATATGTCAAAGGGAAAAGGAGGTAGGAGAGGGGATGACAGAGGTTCAATAGAGTCTGAAAATTAGCAAACTACTCATGCCCCTTCCACCTACCTGCCAATTGCACACACTGCGGTAACTTGTATGCTGCGGTAATGCTTCAAATACCAGCAGGCTCACCATGGTGGACATGTTGCCACACAGCTTTCAGACTAAGAACGGACTAGGAAGGAAAGCCTGGGGATCTACTTGGGAAAATGAGCCAATAAAAACCTCATGAATTATGACAGCATGTTGTCAAATACAGCTCTTGAAAATGAGCCCGCTTGGTTCAAAGGCCCTACATACAGCTACAACCATGGACTCAAACCTGTCGATGACCATGAAGATGGCACGGGTCCAGGCAATGTTTCCTTCTGTTTCCATAGGTTGCCGTGAGTCAGAGCCAATTCAACAGTAACTAACAGCAGCAAGTCATGTCCATTAGCCAGCTATAGACTTCCAGCCTTCCAACGCCTATTGCTTCTTCACTACTGCTCTCAGTGCGTTCAACCTCTGTCTCCCTCTCTGAAATGGGCATATGTTCATGCATAGGCAACAAAAAGGAAGGAGTTGTTCTGAGGTTACCTGCAGTGTTCAGTCCATCACCACTTCCCACACTACTTGAAATGGAACTGTAAGCCTGACCCAAGGACACTTTGAGCCCAACCTATAGTCTGTGATCACCCAACAAAGAGGAGCCCTGGCAGGCAGTGGTGAAATCAATGGGCTGCTAACTGAAACGGTGGAGATAGGAACCAACTAGCTGGCCCTTGGGAGAAAGATGCAGCAGTCTGTTTTTATCAAGTTCTGAAAACCCTATGGGGCAGTTCTACTCCGTCTTATAGAGTCACTATGAGTCGTATTTAATAATAGCTGGACAGACTAATCCCGGGAGAAGGGCATCATGCTTGGTAAAGCAGAGGGGCAGTGAAAAAGAGGAAAACCCTCAACAAG